TGGTTGTTGTTGTTGTTGTGGTGGTGGTGGTGGTGGTGGTGGTGGTGATGATGATGATGATGATGTTAACAAAGTTGTTTTTGATGATGACGATGATTAGTAATCATTCAAGTCCCATCAAGTCCACGGAGTCATGCGAAGCCTGTTACCTGGGGCATCTCTTCAAATATTTCTTCCAGGATTGAATGCAGCTGATGATCGTGTTGTATGTGAGGTGCTGCAAACACGTCCTGTCAGGTATCATCGAACATCTACACCTATCAACTCACAGACAACAACATCATCCTCCAACACCAACAAGTTATCTTCTTGCTCTTGCAGCAGAGTTTGCAAGAATGCAAACTGATGAAAAGAAAGTCAATGTCAGATCACAAACACAGACCTTTTACCATGTGATTGATTGCGTTTGCGTAATAGGCTGCAGAGAGGTCTTCTTCTTCTTCACTTCAGCATCGCGACCCTCGTCACCCTACCTCCTACCTTCCCTGAAGAAGCGACAAGCTTGCAGCCGTCCTGCATGCGGAGAGAAAGATAAGGGCAGAGAGGGAGGGAGGGAGTGAGGGAGAGGAAGAAGTAGAGGGAGAGAGGGAGAGGGAGGGGAGGGAAGGAGTGAAGGGAAGGGAGGGAGGGGAGGGAGGGAGGGAGGGAGGGAGGGAGGGAGGGAGGGAGGGAGGAAGGAGAGGTATCTTGGTGTTGAGGGATCGAGTCACCTCCTTTCGTCACCATCGTCCGTTCAACTGCCATCACCCATAGGGAAGGATGTCCCAGAGATCTGAGGAAACATTCACAACAGCCACTACTGCCTCCTCCGCCTCCTCCTCCTCCTCCTCTCTTTTTCGTCCTTCTCCTCCCTCCCCACCCCCTCCTCGTCTTCTCTCCCTCCTCCCCGCCTGCTTGTCATCTCCTCTTTCTCGCTTCCTCCTGCTCCTGTACTTACTCGACGAGTTTCTGCATGTGTTGTTGCCGCTCAGCAAATTCTTCTCCGGGGGCGCTGAGGACCGCGAGGACACAAGGCATCCACCGACTGCTGAAGCTTACTCCACTACCTCCTCCTCTCCTCCTCTCCCTCCCTCCCTCCCTCCCTCCCTCCCCCCCTCCCCCCCTCTCCTCTCCTCGTCTCCTAAACTTTCCTCCTGCTCTTTCCTGTCTTCCCTCCCTTCCTCCTTTCAACTCCGACCGCTCCTCGTGTCCATCTCCTACTTCACATCACCTCCTTCACTTCCTACCTGCTGCACTGACCTCGAGAGAAGAAGTTCGTGATGAAAATGATGCTCGGAGGCAGAGCCCAGCATGCCAAGTAGCGAAGACAAGCAGGCAGCACCCTCTTCCTCCCCCTCCTAGTTACTCAACTTGTTACAGGGAGGGAGGGGAGGGGAGGGGAGGGAGGGAGGGAGGGAGGGAGGGAGGGAGGGAGGGAGGGAGAGGAGGGAGGGAGGGAGGGAGGGAGGGAGAGGAGGGAGGGAGG